TATTTTGTGGTGGAAACTTAATTAGATTGCCTCTGCACTGCACTCGGAGAAGATGGCAGAAGCCACGGGGGGCATGGAGGTAATTGCGGGAGTCCGCACAGACGAACATAAGGTTTTGTGGGTTTGGGTTTCATCTCACAGCTGAGGGAAACCGTCTCTTTTGTAAAATTGTTGGGTAAAAAGTTGCCGTAAAAATGTACTGCTCCAATTCTTTTTTGTGTGCATTGCTAATTCGTCATTAATCTCATCTTATTGGATTGTGAGTAGCCAAAAATTACCCTCCTAAAGGACCACTCTAGAACTCCCTTGAGTGGAAGTCCCTTTGCCAGCATTGGTGTGAGCAAGCAATTTCTGGGTTGCACCTTTGACCTGTTAGTTTAGGCGTTTAACCAACTAGTTCTGGTCGCTTTAAATTGAGCATTTGATCATTTTTAAAAGTGGAAGACTTCCATCCGGCCTCCATGATGCTGCAAACCGGCCATGGTGTACACCCAACAGGACTGTGATTCCCAGTGGTGGTGATGTAATCTAACCCCTCCCACCTGGACCTTGAGTCCAGCCCTGTCCTTAATTATTCAAATTATTTGCTAATTGTTTGTCACTTTTTGATGCATTTGAGACAATTGATTTAATCAATTGTTGATGGGTGCAGCTCTGGAACTAGTTTTGGGGTTGCAGGAGGTGAAAAAAAGTGGTTTAGTCCATGTGGTGCATATGCCCAGCGTGCAAAAGAACAGTGAAGCTGTGTGTGGATGAACGTGTAATTGAGTGAATTCCGTTTTTCAGGTGGAGTCGACATGACCGAGGCCCTTGAGTCGGATGTCGCGCTCGGAAGACACTTCAGCACGACGGTGGAGCTTACTCAACAATATCGCGACGCCGATAAACGCAAGGGCGTTGTCATTTGCTGCTTTATACCCCCTCACGTAATATCATTTTACCACAATATTGAAAGTATGGCCATGGACGCTAATTTATTTACCTGTTAATGGTCTTCAAGGTGGGGTCACCTGGCTTTTACATCGTGCAGGTTCTGCCCGCTTTCCTCCTGCAAGGAGTTGGCGGCATCAATGCAGTTTCTAATTGTGTCAAACCTTTAATGTTATTAATCCTCGGTTAAGGCGGAGTAGATGTTAGATCTGAGTGAAATTTAATAATACCATTTTTAGTGTTTGGCTCCTTGATAAAAGATTGATTAGCTGGCTCTCGGGCCTATCCATTTATCTATTGAGTATTCCAAATGAATAAGCATGTTTTTTTGAAGGTTAATCGTTGTGGTGAAGATTTATGGGAAGGCCGATGGTTTATGGAAGGGATTGCCCATTTACTTTCACAGATGGAAGATGCCTCCCCTCGGCAATTGCGTTTAAGCTGCTTTTGGGTTTGGATGGCAATGAGCTGACGTGGGGCAGCTTTTTATTTGTAAAGGTTCCTTTTGAAGGGGGTGGATGTGGTGGCATTTGAGTGCGGTAGAAGTGGTTGGCGATACGCTTGCGAATGAGGCCCTTGGTGGTGGTATCCGGAATGTTGAAGTTGGTCTGTGGCAAGTCGTTTTGGAGATGGCTCTTCAGAAAGTTAACTTTGCTTGCTTTTATAATTATGTAAGGGCTCTAATAATTTGAATTATGACTATTTAACAATAAAAGCCTTCAAAACAACTAGCCTCTTAACAAAACAGGTATACACGTCCTATGCAATATGCTTGTCCTTCTAACAGTCTGCTTGTAACATTTTAATCTGAGCTTGTTTCTCTCTCATATAGTTTCCCCTTTTATGTCTCTACTGCCATACTAATGACCCTATGTAGATTATAACAAACATTTTAGTGTTCTTTCCTTGTGCAAAACTTGCTAAATTTGCCAAGCCATGAAATTGTTCCAATTGCTAAGCAACCGAGGTTGTGTTGCGTAAAATGTCCCTGCCAGAGTGCATTGCTACAATTTTACGTCACTTAGACCCTTACCAATACTTTTAAGTCCGAGTCTCAAACATTTAATAATACATCAGTATCTACCACGATGAACTTGAGGGTATTCCAAACCAGTGCAAACCTTTATCTTTATTACAATTCGGTACAAATATTCCAGGTGTCTGCGCAGGAGGTCTTCACGTTGGTTCTTGTAGGATGCCTTGCCTCCTGTCGACGACGAAGATGATGTTTACAAGTGTGGTAATTTCCTCCACTCGTTCTCGAGACCAGCGTGCTCTTTATGGATTTTTTTTGCTGACCGCGAGCACGTGCAGGAACCAGCTTTTGGGGGAGCCCTCGTTGAGCCCTTTAGTAAATGTGTGGAGGATCGGTGATTGTAAAGTGAGAGACGTGAAGGCCAACGCGCGTTGCTCCACTGCCCAAGCGAGGCTCTCGCCCAACAGGTGTGATGCGGTTTTGCTTTACGCAGGTAAATGATACACATTCTTTCTTTGTAGGGGTTTGTTTCTCTGCTTGTGAAGTTGTTTTCCAAAGTTTGGCAATTTCAGATTTTTTTACATTGAATTCTGGCTTTCAGTTAATTTTGAGCATGCAGGATGTTTTTAATCTGAGGTAGATGCCTCTGACGTGAATTGAGACCTTTGTGTGAAACTTTTCAATAAAAAATTATTAAACTGAGCAAATGTTGACATAAGGTGGATAAGACTTTTTTTTACTGATTGTGTGGGAATCCAAGAAAGATGAAAAAATAGTTTTGGAGCAGCTGCAGTTTGACTTGTAATGGAACCTTCTGAACGGATATAAATCCTATTTGAATAAAGCTGAATACACAGGATTGACTGTTCAGTACTCCATATCATTCTGCGTTAAAGTGCTAAGATGTACAATTGCTGCCTTTCAAAATAACATTGGAACGCATTCCGAAACTTCACTTCTGCGCTGAAACACTTAAGAGTTAACGCATTGTGGACTGCATTCGACCAGGCCAGAATATATTAAGTATCTTAAAAAATCGACTCGTGGAAAATATGCAAATCACAGCTTGATTGTTGCTCTAAAACTGGCATTACAAAAAGCGTATTCTAGTGGCAAAATAATTTTTGGTCGAGAGATTCTAAAATATCGGTGGTTCCCACCGGCTCAAGGAAACCGAGTATTCCACGGACTTGATGTTAAGGCCGAATGCATGGTTGTTGAACAGAAACCATCTGCTTTTGTGGCGAACACTGGAGAGAGCAGATTGATTTTAAAACAGTTGCCAAAGTTTAAGAATACCCTTTTTTAAACCATTAACTTAATCCAATTTGCACTTGTATTTTGTAAAGTTATAGTTTGCAATAAAGTTCACTAATACGACGCACTTTGCTCTCCTGGTTTTGTTTAGCCTTCGTTTTAAATGTGAAGTTTTGTCTTTCCTGCAGTTACATATGGAATGCTTAATACCCTCTAAATATGCTTCAGGCTTTTATATTCGCACATTTGGTGTTTCACAAGTCCTGTCCCATGCAGCCCCTGATGCGAAATGTGTTACTCTGTTCATGCTGCGGTGACTTGGCAAGTACATGTTAAGTCCTTTACTCCTTAACGTTGGTTGTGATCAGTCTTAGCAGGGTTTCATGAAAGTCTTTGTAGCACCCACCACCTTGCTCATTTCGAGTTTCCTATGCTGTCAACGGAAATCCGGCCAAGTAGCCTACTCCAGAAGCTATGCAGGTCCTCTCTTCCCATAACCAGGTTTTACAATTGCTGTGCGTGAACCAAGAATTGGTGCCTTTGCCAGAGGTAAAATTGTGATTGAACTTGGTGGTGTCGGTGAAAATTTGAACCTAATCTGCGTTCCGGCAAAATAATCTGGGACGCGTAGCAGCAGCTGCAGCAGCAGGTGATGTGGGCCACGTGACATAGCTGACTGCACGGCGCGGTGACATCGCGTGCAGAACCCGCCCGGGGACGTTTGCCACCCATGGCTACAAAAGCCCCCGTCAGAACCCAGGGTTGAAGAGCACGCAATCCACCACGTGGTGTGGCCTCGGCTACGTTTTTAAAGTCTATGTATGGTAACCTAAATATTACATTTTACATGTTCCTGCAATTTGTAATATACATAGGTAGTGTGCAAGTCCGAGAAATTGTGCGTTGCCAAAAGTAATCTTTAATAGGTTAATTTGGTGCGCAAAGTAATATAAACAAAACTGTGGGTTAAATAACGAGGTTGGTGTAGAACGCGGTATCGTTAAGAGGTGTAAAAGATGGACAAACTGCTCGTACAATTTAAAGAAGTTGTGCAGTAATGTTTCTAAGAATTGAGACCAACGCAGGGAGTTCCTGTCAACGGGTACGCAATTATGAATTGGAGCATAGATTGGAAAAAATGCAATTAGCATGAGGTTTTAAGTGGAGAGAAGTGTAGCCAGAAAGTCGTGAAACTTTAAGAAGCTTTGAGAAGACTGACTTGACAATTTAAGTAGAACTGGAAGCTCGAGGATGATGGCTCCAGAATTTCAACATGAGCAAGGCCAGTAAGTCGACAGCACAGATGGCTCGAGGGAGTTCCAAATTGGAGGTAGGCGAGTCGAAAATGACCTCCCACCGAAGGAAGAGCCCTTGGTTTCGAAAAAGGGACTGCTTCGAGGGGAGTAGTGCGATGAGATGGGAGTAGCCGGAGAGGTGGGGGTGGGGGGGCAAGCCCGTGGAAGATGTTGGATTGGGAGCCAGTGGGGGGGTCGGGGTGACGTGGTCTCGGTTATGATTGCTGGTTCGCTGCGGCTGATGCAGTAGACCTCTTGGACTGGAATCTACTGAATGGGGCAGGTCTGGATCGGGACTGGATGGTGAATGGGGCAGGTCTCTATGGATCGGGACTGGATGGTGAATGGGGCTGACCTCTTGAATGGGTGGCTGGCTTGCTCCGCGTGGTGCTGCATGAATGAGCGAGCGAGCGAGGGGGTCGCCTCTCCTCCATAAAAGCCGCGGCGGCAAATCCGCGCGCTCACTCCGAGGGACGCGCCACGCGAGATCAGGCGCCGTGCACACGGGGACACGGGGACAGACCGTGAGACGAGGGGACAGACGGTGAGACGCGGGGACACGGACAGACTCCGATACACAGACGGTGAGATACACGCGGGGACAGACGCAGTGAGACAGCCTGAGAGTACAGGGACAGCCAGAGGTGACATGGGTACTGCTGTCAATAACAGGGAACGGACTTTGTGACACAGACACTGATCTAACGGCGATGGTAATGATCATTCATAGGCAGACGGGGAGACACGCGGGCTGACATGAATGCAACTGAAGTAGGAGCAGCAGCAAGCCTGCAGGTGCGTTATACACACAGTGCTCGGTTCTATGCGCATAGCCTTCATGTTCACCATACTATAAAGATATATCGACTGTTGGGGCAAGTGCTGCTAGCAAGTAGCGCCTATAAAGGCCGGCACGGCACACGAGGGGGTGGGTGACCAGCACCACTCCCAACCGCCTTTTGTCTCCCGAGTGGTGATATGTACACATCGCACCAGGTACTCATTTGAGGCGGAGTCAACCTAGAGGATGCCCAGGATGGGATCGGATAATCGTCACCGGTGTTGGCCGTGAACGGGAATGAAACTCGGGTCGCCGAGTTCGTAGCGCAGCGTAGCTCTCACTGCTACACGACCGCTCCCCATAGCACTCTATACACACACACCACCCGTACGAATGCACATCGCACGCATGTCTCTATACACTGCGCACACACACTAATCTACACAAACTACACACTGGATTTGTGCTCCACCCTAGCAATGTACAAAGTGCACGATGCAGGAGTGTTTTAGCATAGTAGACTGCTAAGTGTGCACACATGGTAACGAGTTGGAGAGAAGCCCTCTCTGTCATATGCGAAGGGCCATTGCCCAAAACGTCGCCTATTTTGTGTCATCTTAAGTCGGTGCGTGGATAACGAATGTGCCGAGTTTTGTTGCTGTTGTTGGTGCTTGTAAGTCGCTGGTAATCCACGATCTGTACGCGCCAGGCTGGTGTGTGTGTGTCAATATACACGTGGACGGTATGCGACGCATGGTGCCGTGTGCACAACGTGATTAGCTGCCGGTAACCATCAACATTACCACGCTTCCTGCAAGCGGTGTCGGGCTTTGCCGTCTTGCTCTTTAGCGGCTTTAGCGTCACCCACAGGAGGATGATTGCGACTTGACTCACTGATCCTGGGGGGGATCGTTTGTGTTTCGTGTTTTTGAGTGATAGTTGGAGCTACACAGTTGAGCCATAGGCTGGCCCTGTCTCGAGGTGAAACCAATCAACTTCAGCGTCGTGTTTTTTAAACTTAGTTTTCAGATTTTTTTTTCAACTATAAACTTGGCATAGACTATGCCAAATGTCGTCGTTCTCGTCCTTCCAGAACAACATTCGACTTGACGAGGGCTCAATGTATCACTGTGTGTGGCCAGGAGCATTGGAAGTCTGGCGGCAGTGGGGGTGACTATCTGGAGCAGCCGCACCCGTAGCGAGAGGTCTATGGATGTGATGTGCCCGACTCAAACAGACCCGGACTCAATTAAGCCGCGATGCATTTTCCACCGGTCACGCCCCGTGACCAAAGAACGCTCAACCAGCGTGATCATTCAGTTGAATCTGCGCGGTGTGGGCTATTTTGCTTTACGTGAAGGCGCAGCCCTGGCAATGTCTCGCCCACGCCACTGCTGGCGGAAGGGTCCGCCCCGGAGGGAGCTCGAGAGCCCTCGTCAATGGCATTCATCCTCTTCTACGCTGGCCCAAGTGAGAGGTCGGAGTACGCACATTGTACCCCACCACACGCTGCCTGGCGGTAATATAGATTTGAATTACCCATTTATATGTCGGGGTGGAACATCAGCGGGAAGGGTAGATGGGTAGGTGGGTTGATGGGTTGATGGGTAGGTGGGGATTAAAGAAACCTGCAAACTGTTTCAACTGCCTCCGGGAGATCGAACCGACGATCCCTGGATCGCAAGTATCGTGTGCTGAGCGTGACACACGTGCAACAGCAGCAACAGCAACAACAGCAGCCCTTGGGCACCGTGAGGAATGTTGCATTGGCGCAACGGCCGAGGTTCGGGCCCTGGGGGGTTGTAGCGAGATGAATGGCGGCACGAGACGGCTGAGCCGTGGCCTCACGTCCGTCGCGGGTCGCCGCTCGGGGTTATTGAACGGCGAGGCGGTGGGACTCCCAATGTCACTCAGTCGTCTCGCACACTTTGCGGTTTCGTTTCTCGTTACCTTGCCGTGCCTACGAGTTTCGCGTCGAGCCGTGACCCGTGTCTTAAGGATAAGGGCCCCTAAGCCGATGTCATCTGGCATCTTGGCTGTCCACCGCCACTGGTTGGTTGCCGCTGATGAGACGCTGCGTGTCCGGGCCGGTCCAGAGTTTTACTTTTGTTGAATCAATGTTGCTGAGATGATGCACTCACAGGGGACATCAAGTTCATGGCTTGTGTAAAAAAAATGTTTAGTTGTATACGTTGGTTATGTGGAGAGACGTGTGTATGAAGGCGACATTGTCTTATTTTGTGTGCTGTGCCTCCACAAAGGTGAGTAATGCAGACGCGTCGTCAATAATGTAAAAACTTCAATGTTCTTAATTGGCCATCGTTCACACCGTCAACAGGAATAATTTATAAAAGCTAATGCGTAACATTTATAATTCGGCATCATCGCCAATGCATCATGACCGTTATCATCCATAACCATCACGATTATTAAGCATTTTTAATTAATGTCGTCATCGTTGTCGTTCTTGCCAGCGCTTAAATTCCCGAAGGGGGTTCTCGGAGTTGATTTGGGACCCGGCCACTTCCCTCTCGCTGTGTTTATTCTCGTTTCACTGAATCGATCTTTTTCATAAATATCTATGCGAGTTGTATTGTAGGAATGTCGGATATTATCACCTTATACTCTCGTGGTAGTGCCTTACACCTGTAATCCTTACTCCAAGCCAGCCTCGGCAGTGATCTGGAAAATATCGAGTGAAGAATTAAGGCCTAAATAACACCAATAATTATTTATAATCAATATCACGGTTAATCATTAATCAGCATCAACATTTTTGCATCAACAATTGTCATCGTACATTCATTATCAACATGCATCACCACCACAATCGTCATTTTCAGTTTCTACTGCGTAAGAAGGCTCATTATTATTTTGAGTTGTGCAATGAAAGGATGCGTTTGTAGCTAGGGTGGTTTGTAAAGAGTCGATATCTTATTTAACCGTTTGGGGAAATTATTAACTTTCTTTATCTCTGCGACGTTTCTATGCGACAGGTGCATACATTCATTTAACATAGTTACGTGCTATTACATCTCTTATTGACTGCTGTGGCCGTGTCTCAAATGGCTCTCACCTAAGCAAATGAACGGAATATCATCCCATCTTCCACGCGCGGCTCCAGCTCAACGCGATCGGACCGCGCGCAAAGTCAGAAAAGAGGCCATTCTATCACCGGATACACATCGCGACCCATTGGTAATACCCTCCCTCTCATCACATCTCTGGATTACCGTGCACGGCACAGCTGTTGCACGTAGGCTCATGTGGGGATACGTGGTGTGCAGTCGAGGGGCAATGCAGCAAAATCGATTGCTGTGCTGTCCTCTGCTCCACCGGCTATGCTCACCGCCTCCATCACCCCGCAGCTTGGTAACATTTGGTCAAATTCTATTCAAGCGTCTGATGGCACGATGTGTTCGGGAGCTAAATGCCAATGTCGAGGTCTGATGGCTACGACCAAAGGGGCTGCAGGAGAGAGAGAGAGCTCGTGACGTTTGACAGGTTTCTGTGGTTTACTGTGCTCCGCAGTTTGTGTTGCATGGCCACACTCGTCCTCGTGGCTTGTCTTTAATTTCCCATTTTATGGAGAAATGCGCAGTGGCCTGTTGATGTTCTGATGCTGTTGATGCTTTACACCGGTGCCTTCGAGAAGGGATGCCCAAACCAGGAGGAGGTGCGGGTGATTGTTTCTCGACCGAGAGAGTGTTACTCTTTGGTTCTTTCGGTAAAGTCACGTAGGTAGAAATAAAATAAAATAGCGTTTCGATCGCAACACAAGCAATCTTCATCAGGTGGAAGGGAGTGTTCATTACTCCGGGCGTCTGCCTCGTTCCACTCCGTTCGCCAGCAACGTTCTTAGCGGCTCAGGGTGAGATTCTAGGATGGTGACAGCGCGATCCTCGAAGGGGAATCGAGACTTGAGTCGACGGGTGATGCGGCCAAAGGCTTTGGACGTACGGCAATACAAGCTGAGATTGTAGTGTCAAAACTGAACGACGTTATTCTGGAGAGGGGGATTCATATATTTTTTTCAGCGGAATTCTGCAGACCAAAGAAGGCGTTGAGATGATATTGTGGGGAAGTGCACACTAAGAAGATGATTCACAGGGACAGACCGTCACAGGCAAAAGATAAGCGGGGAGGGGGCGGGACTGAACATGGGAAGGGGTCTCCGCAGCGTGCATGGCCAGAGAAAATGACATTCTAGACATTGCAAGTAGCATCCAAGCAGGTGCGACCTAATTGAAGGTGACCCGATGACAGATGCTGTGTTGCACGGAATCATGATTTATGCATACGTTGTGCATGCATCACACGTGTACGTTTGGTACAAAATGTGAGATGGAAAAAAAATAGAATTCTTTACACAATGATGTCTCGCCCCGCATTGCGTGTGCATGTATACGCGTGAGCGCATACGATGTGGGTGTAATAACCAGTGCACAATAGACACTCAAGGCGTACCTTACTTGCCTGCAAGGCAACGAGAATTTTGACTCCCCATTAGTTGTGCTTCTGTGCTCGTTCTGGCAGAGGACAGCCCTGCTCTGTGCATTGCTTCAAGGCCGCGCGTCAAAACCCGCAGTCAACCTCCACCCGGTGGGAGGTTACTCCTTCTCTGCTTCCGACTCCCGGACTAACACAATCGCTACATGGGCTGTAGCCCGCTATGATGCAGTCGAGGGAAGAAATGGAGTGTCCAAGAAGGACCCCTCCCACTAACCCCCCCCCCTTCCCACTCTTCAACAGCCCCAGGCCCCCCTTCTCAAACTCCAGCCCTATCCGTCCCTGTTCAAGTGCCGAACCAACAAGTTATCACCTTCCTCTGGCTCTCTCTTCTCTATAAGTGACATCTGTTTATGGTGTATGTGTAGTGGGTTCCACGGAGGCACACACTTGAACTTGAAGGCAACACGTTAATCTCATACCCCAACAGGGTAACCACATAACGTACAACTAGACCACAACGGGGTAACTAGACCCCAACAGGGTAACTACATCACCGGGTCAGTCAGTAACACGCTGCCTGACCCATGATGCCGAGCGTAAAGACTGAAGACCGAGGACCGAAGAGACGCAGCACCGACGGGTTCCATTCCAACAGACAGCCCGGATAGGCTCTCGGGACCTCCCTTTTATGCCCCTGGGCGTGGCCTGGCTCCGCCCTCGGCCACGCCACCTTCTGGATCCGACCAGAAGGTTCTGGGCCACACACCACGTGTCCCTCTCGCCACCTTGTGTCCCCCCTCGCTCCCCTGTCCTGGTCACGTGCCCTCTCGGGTTCACCCAGACTGCCACATCCTCAACTGCCCTCTTCTCTCTCTGACAGTCACCAGAACCATGCCCCCTCGGGCCCCCTTCCATGCCATACGTACTCTGGTGCCAGAAAGGGGTTCTCACACCTCCACTCTTCCGTCAGTAACTGGCGCTAAATGCCGCAGTGGCTCACTATACGTCACTACATCTCTCTTGTCTGTATGGTGAACCGTACGTAGCCAACCGCGCTCATCGGAGGAGTTACCGTGTCTGTGGTGCGCATGTCCCGCTGGCTCTGTGCACCGTCCTGACACTGCTGGGGCAAGCGCTGTTAGCGAGCAGCACTGTGAAGGCCGGCACGGCACACGAGGAGGGGGGGGGGGGTGGCCAGCACCACGTGGTTGTGTTTCTTCTCTCAAGATTCGCGCCCTGTTGTCGCTGCATCTACCTGGCCATCTCCCATCGCTTTGTTAAGATGGCGTGAGCGTGCGCCCGTGTTTGTGCTTCGCTTTGCTGATGTTGGCGAGCTCTGCCTCTACGCATGTTCGTGTAGTATGTGTCTGTGCTTCGTATGAGTGCCGGTGTCTGTATATTGGTTGTGTATGTATTAGGCCGACTCCGCCTTAAATGAGTACCTGACGCGCTGTGCGAACATCGATACTGGGGAGACAAAGGCGGCCAAGCGTGGTGCTGGCCACCCACCCCCTCGAGTGCCGTTCCGGCCTTCATAGGTGCTCGCAAACAGCACTTGCCCCAGCAGCCTGCTAAGGCTACACGGGGGATCTGTGTCTGTGTTGTCTGTGTGTGTTGGTGTGGTGGTTGGCGCTCCGCTGCGCTACGAACCCGGCGACCCGAGCTCGAGTCCCGCTCACGGCCAACACCGTCAGTGACGATTCTTTGAACCGGTCCTAGGCCTCCCCTAGGTCGACTCAGCCTCAAATAAGTACCTGGTGCGGTGTGTGAAACATCACCAGTAGGGAGACAAAGGCGGCCAGGCGTGGTGCTGGCCACCTACCCCCTCGTGTGCTGTGCCGGCCTTCATAGCTGCTCACTGACAGCACTTGCCACCAACTACTACTGCCTGTGTATGTTCACGATATACGGGGGACATTTGTCTTTGAGTGTGTTAGGTAATTATTATTGCAACACAACTTGTGAAATATATGGAGGTTAAGAAACAATAAGTATATTAATATTGAAGGCATGATTATATTTATGTATCTTAAGGTTCTATAGTGTATATTTATATTTGCAAGGTAGTTGAAAATATCCTGAGTAGCATTAAAATCATTTACATCTGCCCGGGCTCCTTCATAAGCTCGTCAAGCTATTTATTCTATTGTGTGTGTGTCGGTGTGTGTGTGTCGGTGTGTGTGTGTGTCGGTGTGTGTGTGTCGGTGTGTTTGTGTGTTCGTATGTCAGCGTGTGTGTTGGTGTGTGTGTGTGTCGGTGTGTGTCGGTTTGTGTGCTTGTTTCTTAGCGTGTGCTACAATGCGTGTGCTACAATGCGTGTGTTACAATGCGAGTGTTACAATGCGTGTGCTACAATGCGTGTGTTACAATGCGTGTGTTACAATGCGTGTGCTACAATGCGTGTGCTACAATGCGTGTGCTACAATGCGTGTGCTATAATGTGTGTTACAATGCGTGTTCTTCAGTGCATTGCTACGTCTGTGTGGGTGTGGGGAGCGGTCGCGTAGTGGCGAGCGCACTGCGCTACGAACCCGGCGAGCCGAGTTCGAATCTCGCTCACGGCCAACACCGTCAGTGACGATTATCTGAACCGGTCCTGGACCTCTCCTAGGTCGACTCAGTCTCAAATGAGTACCTGGTGCGATGTGTATGCAAGCATCGCCACGAGGGAGACAAAGATGGCTGAGCGTGGCGATGGACTCGAACTCCTTCGTGTGCCGTGCCGGCTAACACCACTTGACCCAACAGTCTACAAGGTTATACAGGGACCTTTGGCAGTGTGTATGTGTGTGAGTGTACGCATAAGTCTGAGCAATAACAGCGGTAAATATTGCGGTGTGAGCAGGGCTCTGTAATAACAGACGTCAGCGGCTGGATGCTTGTTGTAATAAGGTTATAAATAACATTCGCTTTATTTATTGAGAAAAACACATTCTGTTGTGGCAAATGAATGCAAGAAGCTTTAGTAACAAAAAATGTCAGGTGCTCCATACCTTTGTCAGTTCTGAATTTGAAAATGAAAATTCAAAACCAATTATCAACCAGCAGAGGATGCAATGAAGGCTTCCCGACGCGAAGGGGGTTTCTGACCGGACTTCCCCACGCTGGGCAGTGCGAACATCGACAATGGGGCGACAAAGGCGGCCAGTGTGTGACGGAACAGTTCGGATCTCACTTGCCACCGGTGTGAATGAGCAGTGGCTAGCAAACCAAACTCGTCGGGTCGTCTGGTTAACAATCGCAGCGAACTAACCACTGTACCACCGCTCCACAGTTTAGATTTTTTTGGTGGGAATTCCACATTCCTGTGACGTAACGCGGTCTATCCATAACATAAACCGCTGTTTTTCACACCGAATAGTGAAGGCGTAAGGATGTGATGCTGACGCCAGCACAGCGATGATGACTTCAATCGATAATGATCATGGGGTGGTGGTGGTGGCCGAGTTGACCTTGACATGCCGACTCGTTGGTTCTTTCGGTAAAGTCACGTAGATAGAAAATGAACAGATCGCGACGTTTCGATGGCAACACAAGCAACCGTCATCAGGTGTAACAAACACAGCAGCAGAGCTGCTGACGTGCCTGTGAACTCGTGCCTGACCATTAGCAGCCGACTCCACGATTGACAGCACCGACTCGACCATGAAGCTTATTCTTTGACAATCTGCTAATGGTAATTAATTGGGTATAATTGGTCACAGTGGGAGTACAATCATCGCTAATAGGCTCTGTGTCGGCTAATTACCGCCGAGGTGGTTCAGCGGTGGAGAGAGGGGCTCGCGTGCGGGAGGTTGAGAGCTTAAATCCTGCTTGCAGGCTGACACGGCCCATGATCCCTCCCGGGTTGATAAAATAGGTATCACTTTGTGGCGAAGTCAACAGTGCTTGTCCTATGAATATACTCACCCCGCCATAGCAATGTGGAATTCCCACCGCTGGTTCAGCTCAGGTGTAATCAGGAGAGATGCATCAATGCCTCGATGCTCATCGAAGCAAGAAATGGCTTTGGCGTGTGGCTTGACACGTGCACGATCAAAGCGCGCAACTGCGCTCTGGCGATCATCCAAGACCCCACACGCACGCCTTGCCATGGCGGGCGGTCTCGTGATTTGGCCGACAAGCCAGATAAGTGACACTAACGGAGAGAGGAGATCCCTGGAGTAACTGGGCCAGGTGTTTCCATTCGCACCAATGCCGCTGGTTTCTCTGGCAGGGGAGACACGCAGCTTGGCGTGGCGCCGTCCCCGTGGCGCTCAAGCGCCGTGTGTTTCTGCACTTGCCCGTTGTGGTGTCACTGCGTCTGTGCTGCCTCTGTTCAGATGGACGCAGACGACGTGTTGACCAAGGAAGGGCAAATGCTGCTGCTGCTCGTCCCCAGGCAGCAGTGCGAGAGCATCATCCACAGCTTCAACCACACGCCAGGTGTGTGCTCACCACCCTCACCAGCCACTCACCACGGTGACGAGATGTTTACTACCTCGCCCCTACTCTAAATCTAGATTTTACCTCGCCCCTGGCGCCTGTATATTTGGAGTTTGCATGTCTCTCTCTCTCTCTCTCTCCCTGTGATCGCGTGGATTTTTCTGCGGTTTTTTTCGGTTTTTCCCTCCACATTTAGAATCAACATCATACGTTTAGAGTATTGGCTGCTATACATTTCCACATGATAATAAGCCACTTCCTTGGGCTGTCATTTGTGGCCAGGTCGCTTCTGAAAAGAGCTATACAGCTCAGTGGGCCTTACCTGGTAAAATAAAATAATTAATAGTTGTGTTATGCAGTAGAACCACGCGGAGACGAGGAATAGTATCAGGGCTCTTGCTGTTAATGAAACACTTTTTCACTCGTCTTCATACACCCACACCAGTGTAGGTGCACTCTGTCTCGGTCCTTCACCCGGACACTTCGTAACTATTTAGAGCCTGCCCCGGCTATCCCCTCTGCCGTCTCACTCGTCTGCCTGGAGCGGGGGATCAGCCAACACCGCCCCGCGACGAGCAGAGACCCTCTTCTAGGCGCTCCTCACCTTGACCCCCAACGACGACCCCGCCCCTCGGTACCGCCCACCTTCTCGCAAGTGCCATCCGAAAGCCCCTTCCCTAACCCGTAACGATACGTCATCCTTGGGCCCACATGACTGTCAACACGTTCGCATCTCCTTCCACTCGCCCCTTATGGTATCCCCACACTACTCCGCGACAGTTGTGCAGTTTTACAACCCTCACGCCACGTGTGAACACTCAACACCCTCCCCTCACCTCCGTCCATCACCGCCCACAGTTGACCTGCAATGACCCGTTCATGATGATCATGATCTTCAGCCATGATCAATCCACTGCGGGACGAATCCCTCCCCGCGCAGTCTGCCATCTCTCCCGTGTCCCGTGATGTAGCAACCCAAGCCGGCGCCCACAGCACACGAGCTGAGTTTGCTGCTCCACGTTGTGAACACAGCACACAGCAAGTGAACACTGAGATAATATTGAAGCTCAAAGACAACAACACGGTCTAGCGTGAGCACTTTGTCATCATTGTATATATTTATTTAATTCCCAAGTTAAATGATGGATTGGTAAAGCGTTGTGAATTTCCCGACAGGATGAAGACATTGGTCACTGGTGAGGGAGGAGTTAGCATACCGGGAACTCTGTTCATCGGTGATGAGAGTGATGGGCGAATGAGGCAATTATTGGTGGTGATGGGGGAGGGGCTGCGGGGGTGTTCACAGCTCAGGTAGCACAAACGAGGTGATTTCCGCCGCGTCTGCACGTATTTTTAATTTGTTGGCAAACCAGGGAATTGAAATTATGCTGACTCCAATTTTATGAAATGCCGTTGCAAAAACGAGAGCTTGTTAATGAAAATAGAAACAACAATAATAGTGACGCGTCTACGTGACACACCGCGGCGTACCAGCAGCAAGGTCACCCAAGGACACCTCGGCGGCGAGTAATGGATAAGCCGCATCTCGCCTGTGACCCAGTCACCCAGATCGCGCCGATCTCATCCAAGCAGAGTTTTGAGCCTGGACCGTGCTTTGTTGGAGACCACCACGTGTAAGGCGCTCGTTGTGGTAAGCGGAGGACAGCGCAGAAAAAATGCAATCGTTGTACTGTGCTTATATGCGCCCCCCGCCCTCACCAAACCCATACTGACCAGCGAGTGTTCAGATAAACCCGCGTGACGTGGTGCAAGCACTCATCCAGCAGTGGATCGGTCGGCAATCGACAGTCATATTTGCTTACAAGTTGAACAACGCAGCCGATATGTCGATAAGACTCTGGGTACTTGTGCAGAGGCAGTGGTGATTTGTCGTCTGTGCGGATCTCGCGACACGTTTGCCCCCAGAGACCACCGGTGCCATTGCTGGGCTCGGGGTCGCTTGGTTCACGGCCAGCCACTGCGTGTGTCCGTGTCTCCCCGTGTTCGTCGTTCCGTGCCAACCCCAACGCCCTTTGATTTGGCCGCATCGGCCGCTGTGGTCCTCGGACTCGGGAAGAGAATTGAGGTGGGCGGAAGGGCCTCAGGACAAACCCACTTTGTGGCCAGGGTTTCCAGCGACACAGTCGCATGCGGTTAATGTTACATCGCATTTATTTGTCGGGGTTTATTTTTGTTTCACTGACTTCACCCCAGCGCTTACCTTTGTTCTTTATTTTTTTAAACATTTTTATTTTTTACAAACGCTCGAGGGAGCCGAGGAGTCGCGCGTCACGAGGTCGGCTGTAAATGGCAATGAGGTGATCTTTGTGTATGCACGCGTGTGTGTGTACACGTGTGTTGGCACAGTAGGGGGCACCGCGTGTGCATCGGCCAGTCATCTCATTCAACCCATGGTGCCTGCGTCTCCTGCAAGCGGGCGTTCCACACTTCACGTGGCCTTAACGTGCACATAGCCTGGCACAAGCACCGTGGTGACGTCACCGCCACCGAGTGGCGAATGGTGGTTGTTGTTGTGTACACGTGTGTGTGTGTACACGTGTGTGTACACGTGTGTGTACACGTGTGTGTACACGTGTGTGTACACGTGTGTGTACACGTGTGTGTACACGTGTGTGTGTACACGTGTGTGTACACGTGTGTGTGTGTACACGTGTGTGTACACGTGTGTGTGTGTACACGTGTGTGTACACGTGTGTGTGTGTACACGTGTGTGTACACGTGTGTGTGTGTACACGTGTGTGTACACGTGTGTGTGTGTACACGTGTGTGTGTAAGCCAGGCTCGTTGTGCCCTCCGGAGTGGGATGCCATCTTCTGCTGGCCTCCGACGCTGCCTGGACAGTGGGTGAACGTCTCGTGTCCCCATTACATCTATGACTTCAACCACAATGGTATACGGAGCACTTTCGTCATTGACATCAACTTTATCTCCATCAAAATCATCATTGATTACCACCGTTAACATTGTTGCCGCCATTATCATTGTCATCATTATCATCATTGTCATCATTATTATCATTGTCATCATTGTCATCATTATTATCATTGTCATCATTATCATCATTGTCATCATTGTCATCATTATTATCATTGTCATTAGCGTCTGTCGAAGTTGACGGTCCACACCACCTCGTGTCAGTTCCCAGACGATGACATTGGATTATTTCTGAAGCCCATTCAAAAGGTCTCATCATCATCATAACCGTCGTCGCCATCACCATCATCATTGATTTCATTATTGATGCCATCATAATAACTGATGACCTCTGGGAGGTCTTCTGGCTTCGGTGCTGTACGTAAGAGTATTACAGCACTAAACATTCGCAATTTCGTGGGTGTGAAATATACGACTGATATGTAATCTTATGCTTGTTATATGCACATATAATGCAAAGTAATTTTTGTGACAAACATCGTTTTTATCTTGATTTAATGATCGTGTTAGTTTTTCTGTATACCAAGTCTCCCTTTCAAAAAAAATAAAGTATGTTGAATTATTCATGCTTCTTAATCATATATATAACGTCATAACCGCCAATTTAATCAGAATCACTCTAATCAGAAACAACATTCTGTCATTATAATGTAATAACTTGCAATCAATTAATGAATTAATGTGCACATTATATTTCTCATTACATTGCAATTATTGTGTAGTACCCAGTTCTTACCTAATAACATCGGCATACTTGCCAGTATCGTCATGATCATCAACGTGGAGGCGATGAAGGCCTGGTTGGGCTCACGGTTCTTCAAACTAAACTTTGACCATTGTTATTTTACCAGGTAAGGCCCAACGAGCTATATAGCTCTTTTTAAGATGTGATCTGGCTATCACAAATCATAGCTCAATGAAGCATGTTTCTAAATGTGGAGGGAAACACCGGAGGACCCAGAGAAAAATCCACGCGACCACGGGGAGAGATACATCCAAACTCCAAATATACAGCAGGCATCTGGGTTGGGATCGAACCCACAACCTCCTGTATACCAGGCGAGGTAGTCAACATCTCTCTACCGTTACGCCTTCCACACTTGTTGCAGAGGTTCACGGTTGGAATCCAGTGGCTGCCCTGATTAATACTGCGGTGGGTGTTAAAACCATGAGAATACTACGGGCCGTCTGCTTTGAAGTTGACGTTAAAGATCCCGTGACTTCATTCACAAGAGTAGGCCATCATGCGTCGGCGTCACGGTCCACATTTTCCGAATTTGAAAAATTACACCGCAAATTACTCGATGTGGATTCTCCACACAGCAACCATCGCCACTTCCTGCAAAAACTTGCCAGAACCATCCTGAAAAGAGTCATGAGACTCAATGCGGCTTTCCTTCGTGAAAGAAGATTAATAATAGGCTGCTGATGTTTAATCCCTGGTACCGCATACTGATATTAAAGCTGGTCATTCCGCTTTATGAAAAAAACATGGACATTTCATATTTTTTGCTTTGAAATTCGGTGTGCGGTCAATTGCTTAAAAAAATCGGCAGCATAGGATCGGTCGGGGCTGGCGGGTACGCACGCACGCGTGAAAGCGCAAGTCGCTGGGTTAATTAAAGACAAAACGGAGCCTCTAATGCAGATGGATGGACAAAGGCACGCACGCGCACAGCGTCGGGACGAATGAAATAGCTCCGAGATTGCAGAGGAAATGAAAGTGGTGCCGGGTTTCTGGCGCGATCCTCCGTCGCCACGCTCCGCGCGCCCATGCCGTGCTGCTGCTGCTGCTGCGGCAAACGGAGCATTTATTTTGTGTGAGCGACGACACTTTGGGTATTCTAGCGATAAGCCGGTGAAGCTTGCGTGATTCGTTTTAAGAGGTAGGAACGGTCCAGTGTCGGGAAGTTGTGCAACGGAACGTTGCGTGTTTTTTTCCGTCGAATTTCATCTTCCCCTTGCAACAGCTTTCTCGATTGAAAGTGGAGCCAAATCAGCGTGACAAATTGCCATGGCGATGTGTTCATGGCATTCTGTTAGGATTTGACAGGCCCATTGAGTTTTATCTATATGCACAATCAATTATCGTCATCTTCATCCAGCATTGGATTGACAAATGTACACGCATGAATGTAGTCCGTGCAATGGCGTGATAGCTGAGCTAATGTACCTCGGAGCATGAGTGCTCACATAGACCCCTTAATATTTCTAGCATATAAAAAGTACATTTTAATTAATTAAACCAACTCCACAAAATGGTTTATTCAAGAGTATTTGTTCTATGGAGAGACTGATCTCCGTCATAGGAATGAGGCATTACACCACTGGTTAATGACCTCCCAACCGAGCGGTGCTGGGTTTTAATTAGCGGGATTCGACGGAGGGGATGGTGGAAAGTAAAATATTGGGAGACAATCGTCGATGTTGAGAGGTGAGCATTCGCAATAAATCGGCGACCCGTCCGTGATTGGCCGCGCTCATATCAGCAGCAAGGCACGCGGTGCTTCGTGTGTATTTATTAAACCGCGACCGATCCCGCAGAGCCCTCTGTGCTTCGGCTGTAACGGCAACAAAGCATTGGGGATAAAAAAAAAAAAGACAAAACAGACCGGGCAGCTACAAAGAAAAGCATATCCATTTTTTTTGTTTGCAACACGCCACAGGTTCTCTCAGGTGAAGGTTGTCTTCAAGAGCCCCGAGAGACTGATCGTCATATTGTGTGGAGGCATGGAGAGAGAGAGGGAGAGAGTCCCGCGACTGCCCGCGCGGCTCACCGAGTAAACGGAGGAATAATGAAGTTGGGGGGCGGCTCACATTTGCCGCGGCTTTTTCACAAAGAGAGCCCGGAGATTGAGTCGGGAAGGTGGCTGGAAGTGAAATAGGATTGCGCGTATTTGCTCGGTCACGCTACACCTCGGGCCGCGCGGGGAGGGGGGCGGGTGAAGTTAAGCACCGTCGCCCAACATCGCTCGCCCGACTGACGGCTCCAGCAAAATGTCTCACTCTGAAATAATTATCTGCTGGATAAACAGGGGGCATGGGCAGCTGTCATTTTAGCCAGTCCAGGAGCTCGCGACGGCCTTTGTAGAACATCCCTCGCGTCTCACGGGAGGTGGTTACCGCTGTCATTTACAGTGTTTAGTGATTTTCCAAAGATGAAGACACAGGGAATGAGAGCCAGAAAATGTGAGATGAACACTGAACGTGAGGTTTTGATACATTGACTGCCATACGACCTGCCGGTCAGTCATGTTGGTCAACGTGGATCGATGGGTCAAAGGGCAATTCAAAAATACACCGGTGCAGATGTCTTGACAGGGTCTATTTGTCACCTCTCGGTGGCTTGAATCCAGATGAGGGTTGTCACCTGTTCTAGCTTTCCCGTGATAATCCTGTTTTCAAAGTGTTTGTTCTGGGAAATCTGTAAGTCTTCCTCGGGTATTAAAAGTTGTGTTTTTTGTGATTTGCGTGATAACTCACCACTCCTGTGATTCACGTCTTGGCTCTTTGTAGCTGAGAGGTGCCAGGCCATGGGTTGGGTCTGGACACGACCAACATTTTTGAGCAAAATGCCTGTGGTGGTTTTAGGTTTTCTCCCTGAATGCAAAATTCTGCTGATAACGGAAATGTGTAATACGCAGTTGGCTCTACCGAGTTGGTTACGAGTAATTGCGTAGATTTAATAAAATTATGACCGAGTTTAGTCAAACATGTGTAAATAGGGTTTGCCAGCACTACATCGAGCGTAGCGGCTTTTTATTAAGGATTGCCTGGTCACTGCACAGACGCACAGTGATTGGCCACTGTGCATTTGTGATCTCACCAATGACCACGGGAGAGGTTTCCTGCGGGACACCCCTCCACTCGGCGCTTCGTTTCAGCCGGATCAGTGCGGAACGCCGTCCAGATAATCGTCTTGAGACCCTGCCACATCCACCGCGCCTTGTCTGCACCTAAACGTGTTCATAGAACTACAGGGAATACAGGGGACATAAAATAACAAAGGATCGGTATGGATAGGCGTACCTTGTGCTCTAGTGGTAGTGCCTTGTGCCAAAATCCCTGCCCCCAAGCCGGGCGAGCAGCAGCAGCGAGGTAGGAAACGAGGCGCTGACGCCCGTGTCGCAACCCGTCAAACGAGTCCCCTCGTCGTCTTCACCGCCGGGAGAGGCCCCGAGGACGTGGCCACCACGTGCGGGGCCCCGACGGGGCCTGAGCGGCGACAACTTCGAGGGAAATGGGAACTGAGGAACGCTCGCGAGTCGCGAGTCGCAGCGCTGGCCCCGCTGGGCCGGGGGCCGCGGGCGACGGGCGGCTGACGGGGAACCGTGACGACATCCTCAGCAGCGGCGCTGCGCGTTTGGCAATCAAGTGGCAGGGAGCCGCATATCGAAATTAAACGACAAGCTGCTGGCGGGAAGAAGCGCAATGAAGGATGTTTCCAATTTGCCGTATATCGTCTGCCTATTGTACGTGTGTGTGTGTCTATAGCTTGTTCTAACATGCAATGCACTGCGGTCGCGTGCTGTCCCTTTGTTGAACTCTGCCGGGACCGTCTGGTACGTCGTTACAATTTTACATATTTAAACATAACGCACCCGTAAACATGAATGAGAACAATTATTGAGTAGCTTTGGTGGTAGTGCCGTTGTTACAGCGCAAGGTGATTATCACGAAGGTGCAATGTCACGGACACGGTCTGCAGTGTTAGAGTGGCGGGCGATGTTGCGAGGTGCAATCCCGATCCATTATTCACAGGTGGGCGCCGTGGTGGCTAGGAGATGTTAACTACCTCGCCTGGTTTACAGGAGGTCGTGGATTCGACCCCGACCCTGATGCCTGTATCTTTGAAGTTTGCATCTCTCTTCCCGTAGTTTGCGTCTCTCCTCCACTGCTGGTGATGATAAGCTCGATACTTAATTTATTATTCACTTTAGGGGGGCGCCACGATTG